GCTTGTTTACCTTAAAGCCTTTAAGACCCCAGACACACATTTTTAATGCAGTTTTTGTGATAAAATTAGGTGCCTTGACTGATATTTGGGTTGGCTTATACTCGAGTATATATGGTAATTAATTATGTGATTTTGAGGTGTTCAAGGGTAATTCCACTTAAGTTCCATCATGAAACTGGAGCACAAGGAAGGATTACTGACAAAAGGAAAATAAGCATAAAGTTGTGCTTGACTCATCTTTGATTTGTCTCCAAATCCACTGTCCCTAATAGCGAAAGCCAGTTGGGTCTATTCTAGATTGACTCTGTGCTAATTCTGCTGATAATCGACTTACCCTCCCACCCCTTCCCTTTGCTGCTTCATGTCACCATGTCAGACACACTCTGTTTACTCTGCCTAGAGTTCTCTTGCTCCTTCTTGATGCAATGCTTGCATCATCTCAAGACTCAGTTTAAGGTCAGTAGCCACAGGATGCCCTTCTGAACCCCTCTTGATTTACATGCCTGCCCCCCCCCCCTGTTCTCCTAGCATCTTTACTGTGGCCCTTTCACTTTACCTGTAATTGTTGCATTGCCAGCCCTTCATACTACTTTCTAAAGGCAGAAATAGTTTTGCTTTGCTTTGATAAACAAGTAAACTTTTTCCCACTAAAATTGGGCTTTTATGAGCTATGTGTATATATGTGTGCTAATTAATAAGCAATTGTTGTTTGTAATTTCTATTTCATGTTCTAAGGACCCCTAGTGGCATAGTAGGGCTATGGGTTGGGCTGCTGATAACTGAAAGGTCAGCAGTTCAACACCACCAGCTGCTCCACAGGAGCTCTCTAGTCCCATAAACTTTTATAGTCTCAAATACCTGTAGGACCAGCTTTATTCTGTCCTAAAAGGTAGCTATGAATCGGATTCAACTTGAGTTTTTATAATTTTTTATTCCATGTCTTATTTAAGCTTTAGCAAGTTTTAATACCGTAATGTTTTGTTTAGTGGTTAAGACTCTGTGTATTTGACACTAGATGGAGGCCATTAGTCTGGTTAATAAAAAACCCTGGTGGTGTAGTAGTGAGCTGCTAATCACAAGGCCAGTGATTCCAACCCACCAGTTCCTCTCTGTGAGAAACATGAAGCTATCTTGAAAAGTTGTGGAAACTCAAAGGAATAGTTCTGTTCTGTCCAAAGGGTTGTTATGAGTTGAAATCAACTCATTGAGAGTGAGTTTTAATTTTTTTTTTTAACTTTTCTTTTGAGACTGATTATTTATTATTTACCTTGGTTTCCCCAGCCATATATTGGAGGATTAAAATAATATAAATTGTAGTACAAATTAAATGAAATAATACATGTGGTAAAGCTCTTGCCTAGGACCTTCCTGTAAAGAACACTGACTTTTCCCTCCCTACTTCATAAACTCATAGAATTCATGAAATTGCAGAGTAGGGTTTTTTGTTTTTAAGAGATGATGGTAAACTTTATGTTTTACACATGGATCTGGAGGAATTAAAATCTGGTGATATTGTGCTGCCTGTGTGATACTAACATATTACCTGTCTGATGTCTCATACAGCATCGTGAGCCATTAAGTTGTTATCACCCGTGAGCACTACTACTATTGCCAGTACCACCCACTGCGTTCAGGTTAGTTGTGACTCATTATGATTGCATGGGACAGTGTAGAACTATCCCGTAGGGTTTCCAAGGCTGTAATATTTCTCAGAGTGACTGGTGTGTTTAAGCCAGTGACCTTTCAATTAGTAGCTGAATACTTTAACTGCTGTACCACCAGAACTCCTGCCATGACCAGTACGTCTACCCACTTGACGTAGCGAGCTCAACAGCAAACCCCTAGAAGGAAGTCATAACTGAGGCAGCAGCTCTCTTTCTTCTGACAGTTTCTCCTAGACCGGAGGGAGGACAGATACTAATAGACTCTCAAAAGTTTTAGTGCCAATTCAGTGGAAACAAGTTTGTAAGCATTGCGGACAAATAGGAAGCATTAAGGACTTGATGGAGGACTGTCTGAAAGTTACCTGTAAGCTACTAGAAAATTACAGAAACAAATAGTAGAATATAAGTAATGAAGAGGGAGTTGGGGACAAGGGGATGCCACAGTGAACTATGTGCATTGTCCACAAACACATGAACATAGTACCTAATCATTTGCAGTACAGAAAGAAAAGAATTTTGATTTTGCCACACCGTTTTCAACTGTCAATAACATGAAAATGATCATTAGGTTCAGCAAGGTAGGTTTTTGACTTAGCACTGTCCTTGTAACCTGTCAACATCACAGCAGTTTCTGCGGCATTTTTTCAGAGCAGGAAACAAAATTTCATAGTCACCCACTATTCTCTTAAACCGGCCATCATGAAAAAATTCGCTGTGACCAGGGAGAATCTTCCTAGGCGATGCCACTAAGGCCTAATGAGTTGCTTGATGCTCGCCTAGTTGGAAAAATGTACTATGAAAGCTCCTCTCAACATCTTTTTCCATGTTTGTGTGTGTGTGTGTGGGGGGTACCCCCTTGTATGTCTGTTCTTACATTAATATCAGAATATTTTATTTTATTTTTTATTTTTCAGAATATTTTATTTTCTTGTACATTTTGAATGGGAAATGTGCTCTACTTTCTTCTTTTTTCAGGGTTGCTTGCCTATTTAGGGCCCTTGCAACTTTAAATTACATTGCCATTTGAGGATTAGTTGATCTGCTTTGATAAACATGGCTATTGGGTTTTGCTTTCGGTCCCTTTGAGTTCCCACCACGCTTGAGTTGATTCTGCTAATAATGAGCTTATGTATGATTTCAGAGACTGTAAATCTTTACAGGAGCAGACAACCTCATCTTTTAACCACAGAGCAGTTAGCGAACTTGAATTGCCAACCTTGCAGTTAACAGACCATTGCTTACCTGATAGCAATTTACTGTATTGTTTTAATGTACTGACATTTTACTGTATTTAGTTTTCCAATCTAGGATCATGGCATTGCCATCCTCAAATAGTATGAGCAACTTCCGTTCTTAAGTCAAATTTGTACATAAAACATCTTTATCAAAATAATATAGTAGCGGGCAGTGGAGAAGTGGGTGAAGGGAGACATCGGACGGTGTAAGATATGACAGAATAGTAATAATTTATAAATTATCAAGGGTTCATGGGGGAGGGGGGAGGGGGGAAAATGAGTAGTTGGTACCAAGGGCTCAAGCAGAAAGCAAATGCTTTGAGAATGTTGAGGGGAAAAAATGTACAAAAGTGCTTGACACAGTGGATGTATGTGTAGATTGTGATAAGAGTTGTATACGCCCCCAATAAAATGATTTAATTGTTTAAAAAAATAATAATAAAGTAATACAAATAATTTTTTAATGCACCTAGCAAAGCATCAATTTTTTAGTATAGACCATTGTAAGTACCATGATAATAGGCTTTATGGAATGGATTCATAACTACAGGTTGTATATAAATTGGATATTTGTAACCCTGGGACAATCTTATACTTACCAAAAAGAGTCCCCCAAATCAGAAACTGAAACCCACATTTCTGCCATCCCATCAATGAGACTGAATCTTCATGGGAGCAAACAGCCACATTTTCCTTCCCGGAAGCAGCTGGTGGATTTGAAGAATTGACCTGTGGTTAGCAGCCTGAGACCAACTTAACAGTGCCACCAGCACTCCTTTAATTTCTTTCAGAAGTGTTTTGTAGTTCTCAGTGAATATTTATCTCCCCTTCCTATTTATATTTATTCCTGGACAATTTGTTCTTTTAGATGATATTATAATGGTTAATTTCCTTTCGTTTCCTTTTCATTACTGATATATAGAAGTCCAATAGAGGTTTATGTGTTGATCTTGTACACTGCAACTTTGCAGAACTCTTATTAGCTCTAATTGCTTTCTTAGGGATTTTTAAAATATTTACTATATAAGGACCATGCCATCTGGGAATAGAGGTAGTTTTACTTCTCCCTTCTTGATTTAGACACCTTTTAGTTTTTTCTTGTCAAATTGTCTGGTTAGAACTTCTAGTACAGTATTGAAATAGCAATGGTAAAAGCAGTAAGTATCCTTGTCTTGGTCCTCATCTTAAGGGTATGCCTCTGAATTTTTCTCCATCGTATTAAAGAACTTCCTCTCCAATATTTTTTTAAAATCATTTTATTGGGGACTCGTGCATTGTCGAGCACATTTGTATGTTTATTGCCATCATCATTCTCCCTCTCCAATCTTATCTTGTTAAGGTTTTTAATGGAGAACTCATTTTGGACTTTGTCACATGCCTTTTTGTCCATTAAGATGATCATGTGATTCTTTTTATTAATATCATGCATCACAATTAGTTGATTTTCTAATGTTGAATTGCCTCTGCAAACCTGACTTGGTCTTAGTGTATAAGTCTCTTAATATGGTGTTGGATTCAGTTTGTTAGTATTTTGTTGAGGATTTCGGCATCTAAAGGAATATTGATTTATAATTTTATTTTCCTGTAGTGTCTTTGTCTGACTTTCATACCAGGATGATGACCTCATAGAATGATTAGGGAATGTTTCCTTTTCTTCCATTTTTTTGGGGAAGAATTTAAGAAGAATTGATACCAATTCTTCTTTAAATGTTTGGTAGAACTTCCCAGTGAAGCCATGTGGCTTAGGACTTTTTACTTTTGTTGGGAGAGCTTTTGATGACTGATTTAGTCATTTCACTTGTTATAGATTTTTTGACATTTTAAAATATCTTTTTTGTTTACTTTAGAGAACTTAGGTGTTTTTTATCTAGAGATGCCCCAGAAGGGAGGCCTGGCAATCTGCTTCCAAAAGTGTGTTACGTTTGGAAAGCCCAGTTACATTCTAAGCTGACCCCATGGGGTTAGTTGTGAGTTGGGAATGGTTCCAGGACAACTATCAACACAAGTAACTTTGGACTTCGTTTGCTCTTCTTTTTCTAATTCTGTAAATTATAAAGGAGCCTTGATTGCAGAGTGGTTATGCTTTGGCCTGTGAATCCCAGGGTCACCAGCCCATTCTCTGGAGAAAGATGGGGCTTTCTGCTTCCATAAAGAGCTACAGTCTTGGAAACCCTAGTCACTGTGAATCAGAATCAACTCATGGGATTGAGGGGTTTTTTTGTTTTCTCAAATTTTAAATTGTAAAGTTAGATTATTGATATAATTTCTTTCTCAGTTTAGATGTTTTTTTCATTGTTCATTTTCCACTGAGCACTGCCTATCAACTTTCATTTTCATTTGAGTATAAGTAATTTCTAATTTTTCTCTTGTTTTTTTTTCTTGACCCATTTGATGTTTAATAGTGTGTTGCAAATATTCTACATAGTTGTGTATTTTCCAACTTTCCTTCAGTTATGAATTTTGACTTTTACTCCTTGTGGTCTGTGAAGATACTTTATAGGATTTCAGTCTTAAAATTGATTGCAACTTCTTTGTTATCTAGCTGATGGTCTATCCTGGAGAATGATCCAAGTTCACAGGAGAAAGATGTGTATTGTTTTGATGTTTGGTGGGAAAAAATTTCTAAATGCTTTTCAGTTTTATATGTGGGAGCATTTCCAGGTTTAAGGAATGAGATGTTTTGCACAGTAGAATGTTCTGATATAGCTAAGCTTCAAATACCCAAATGTCTTTCGGGCAGTAGATGATGAGTATAATGGAAATAATTTTACCATTTTTTGTTTGTTTGTTTGTTTGATGGCCCAGGGTAATTTTAACACCACCACCTCCTTTCAGATACTTTGACATAATAATTTCATTTTCTGCTGGCATTTTATTTTTTTCTCATCTTAATGTCGCTTTAGCTGTTAGTGTTCTTAATTCATCCTCCACTGATGGTTGGCTTCCAGTAATTTCCTTTGGGCTGATAAAGCAATAATCCATTTTGGAAAGATTCTTTATTAAATAAAGGCAAGATGATGAGTGAGAGACCAAAATGTGTTGGCCCTCTGTCTTTTTTAAAACATTTATTATAAATTGGGAGTTTATACATATATCACTCTGTCTTGACTGTTTTCTTCATATATTGTATGTAGGGACACTGTTTTAATGGATGACAGTTTTTAAAGTAAGTTTCAACTTCTGAATAGAGAATTTCTACTATAATTGTTTTGGATAAGGAGCTCTGTACATTTATTATTGGTATCATCTTAACTCTTTTTTTCCTTCTCGGATTTGTAAACAGTCAAAATTTGCTGTGTGATGTCACAATTGTGGCTGAAGACATGGAAATCTCTGCTCACAGAGTGGTGCTGGCTGCTTGTAGCCCTTATTTCCACGCTATGTTTACAGGTAGGATATATTTTAGCTTATGGGTATTGTTTTTAATTGTCTGATCTTTTATTTTCATATCATAGTTTTTCTTGCTACTCATGTTTTCTTTTTGTGTGTGAAATTAGGCAATGTAATAAAAGAAAAAACTTGCTACATTCTGAATGTCTCCTCAAATTTATTTTTCCTTGTGGTCAGCAAACATATTCACATGTGTACATACTCAGAACTATTTGCTCTACTTTTTCCCTTTATCATTATATTTACCTATTTTTCCATAGTCTACCATTCTATTATTACAGCTTTTTGACAATTTCTTCTTTTTGCAAAAGAAAAGCAATTTTGGTATTTTTACATTTTTTTCAGGTGGTTTTCGTTTTTCTACAAGTATTTACAGTGACTATAGAAATATTTCCTTAATGGCCTTGATTTGGAAATCTTATGAAAGCAGGGTGGTTTACTGACAAGCGTAGATTTTACGTAGACAACTACAAAAATATGCAGAATGATGTTAGTACTTATGGAAAAAGACATATATGTTCATTACACTTCAAGTCCATATATGTGTGTATAGATTATACATGTATAATATACAGAGAAATGAAGTTACTCACTAATCCATCAATTAATTTCCAAGTTTTGAGTAGTGGTAGGACAAACAGAAGGTACCTTTACAATAAATACAAATGTTATATAAAAATACAAAGCTGTTCATACTTTAATAACTATTAAGTATTCCTTGTCCCTAACATTTTACTCCAGGGAATACTGAAACAACGCCAGCTGCCTCTCAGCCTGCAGTGGCTTACTGGGTTGTGGAGGAAGAGATTGCTTGCATAAGTGAGCGGTCGGGTATGGAGGTCTCTGTGTCAAAAGCAGTGGTATAGATGGGGTACTGTGATGGGGAATGTGTGTTTGGGAGAGCATTCAGAGGCATGTTGGCAAAAGTGCTGAAAGGGGGGGAGGGTCTGACATTTCTTGAAGCCTAGTGGTTGTAACAGATTTGACAGATAAAGGCAAGTACGGAAGACCTTGTAGAGAAAATGGATTTAGTAGATAGAAACTTTCCATGGTGCCTCTCAAGAGAGAGACTGAAGCCTCTCTCACATTTCAGCCTCCTGCAGTCCTGTTGTTCCTAAGGAGAGTTAAATCAGTAATGTCTCAAGGAGAGTGGAGGAGTTGTGAACCAATATTATACAAGTTTTTTGATGGAGTACCATTGGCTGAGGCTGATTTGAAAAGTCAATATTAATATTATAAGACCAGTCAAGTTTTAATATCCTGGCATTCATTTCAGGTTTTTGACTTATAGCAGCAGTTCTCAACCTGTGGGTCACGACCCCTTTGGTGATTGAGTTTCCCTTTCACAGGGGTCGCCCGCTTCATAACAGTAGCAAAATTACAATTATGAAGTAGCAGCCAAAATTATTTTATCGTTTAGGGGTCACCACAACATGAGGAACTATAATAAAGGGTCATGGCATTAGGAAGGTTGAGAACCACTGGCTTTATAGTTTATTTTCCCCCAAGGACTGTAAGAAGAGTTTAGTCTTGTAAAAAAGAGGAGTTGAACAGGAATATACTAGGAAATCCCTAATGAAGTGTTGTCCCTTGTAGATAGGCTTTCCTCAGATGACACTGCTCTTACTATTTATGTTACAGGAATTAGGTTAATGTCTTACCAAAAGAAAGGTTTCTGGTTGGAAGAGATAGTGTCTCACAGTAGAATTTTATTTAGAAGCTCATAGGAAAAAGAACTACTCAGCCAGCATGCCTGTACTCAAGTGTTTCTAGGTGCCCTACCATGCACAAATTCTCAGGAATTTCCACGGAGTAGCAGGGGGTTCTGGGAAATGTAATCTCTAGGGCGAGCTGTGTCATGGAATCTGCGCATACCTTGTCCCAAGTCTCCACCTTTCCTCAGCTGTCTCATTTACCTGTTGGCACTACTAGTTTGGGAAACTCACATGATCTATGTATGAGTGCCCCATTGGAAAACAAGAATAATATTTAGTTCATAGGGTTTCTCTGAAGATAAGTGAGTATGTGTGTGTGTGTCTGTGTGTGTGTGTGTGTGTGTGTGCCTAATTTGGATAGTTTATTTTCAACAAAATAACAAAATTATAGTGATAAACTTTGAACTACAGGATCAAGAATCTTACCTTTCTCTTCAAAAAGAAGCACTTAGGTTTTCCAAACTCAAAGTGTTAGGTATCCAGAAAATTGAATGTGAGAGAGACCTGAAACCTTGTCATGTCTTTAGTTTGCTTTTCTTTTTATTTAATAATATTATAATATGAACCATATTTCAGTTTTCCCCTCTTCTTTATAGATATGCTGAGTTTTCCCTAATGAAGGGAATAAGGCTCTAAAGACTTTCTGATTTTGTAAATATTTCTAGTATCTCAGTTAACTGGTAGTTAACTGGAGTTCAGGCTGAGAATGCACTTTCTATCCTTAGTTAGGTTTTAGATGGCTGTTTGCTAAAACCCAAAACCAAACAATTACTCATAGTGATTCTATGTAGGGCTTATGAGACTAGAAATCTTTATAGGAATAGACTGCCTCATCCTTCATCCTCAGAATAGCTGGTGCGTTTGAAGTCAACTTTGTAGTTGCAATCCAGTGCCTAACCCACAGCCCCACCAATGTTCTGTTTTACTAAGGTAGAACAAAATAGGGGTATTATGTTAATTCATGGCACATTTAAAATCTAGATTGCGTTTGTTACAATTTTACTGAGGTACATTTTACATAAAATAAAATTTTCCCATTTCAAGTGTACAAAGATTTTTAGCAAACTTTCTGAGTGTACAACTATCACCATATATTACTTTTTAATAAATTTTTTTTCAAATAACGCTTTTGAGATTCACCTGTATAATGATATGTAGCACTGGTTTGCTCCTTTTTCAATACCAAATAGTATTCCATTATGTGGATATACCACAATTGACTGTTTACTCATCAATTGATGGGTATTTGGGTTCTTTACAGATTAGGATTCTTTGGTGTGGTGTTGCTGTTGGGTAAGCCTTAGACTGCTAACTCTGATGTCTGAGTTTCAAACCCATTAACTGCTCTGAGGGAGAAAGATGAGACTATCTACTCCTATAAAGGGTTACAGCCTCATAAACCCTATTTAGAGTTGTTATGAGTTGGACTCAGCTGGATAGCACTGGATTTGGCTTGGCCAGGAGCTTCACTTTCAAATATTCGTGTAGAGATACATCTTTATTTCTCTTGGGTAGTTACGTAAACATGGAATCACTGGGTCATATAGTAAATTTATATTTAAATTTTAAAAGAATGGCTAAACAGTTTGCGCCATTATACATTTTATATTCCCACCAACACTATATGAAGACTCATTTTGCCATATCTTTGCCAACAATTGGTACTATCTATTTTTGTTTGTTTGTGTTAATTACTTGGTGTAGTGCTTACGGGTTGGGCTGATAACCTCAAGATGTCAGTTTGAAACCACCAGCCACTCTGAGGGAGAAAGACAAGGCTTCCTATTCCCATAAATAGTTGAAATCTCAGAAACCCGCAGAGGGCATTCTACCCTGTTTTATAGGATCACTCTAGGTGGGCACTGACTTGATGGCAGTGACTTTGGTTCTTTTAGAATGACTAATGACCTTGGGCACCTTTCCTGTGTTTGTTAGTTAGGCTAAACTTTCATGGTTCTTCAGTAATAGATACTGTTTACCTTCCCGGTGATCTTTGCACTGTTTCCTGGGTTTTAATCCAGCGTGTAATTGACAGTTTGACAAAAATTAGGTAAGGAAAGTTCAGAGATACAGTCGGCATGGTTTAGTGTAAGTATTCGTTTAACTATTTGTCAAAATATGAGTTAATTATCTGTTTCTCATGGCCTGAATTTCTGTTAAACTAGTGTAAAAACAGTGAAGATGATGAATGGCTCTTTGGAGACTTGTTTCATCAAATACCATGTGTGTTTTAGAGTCTTGCTCATTGAACAAGTGTTGACAGTATTAGGGTGTTTGTCATTAACTGTTAATTGTTAGGAAATGGAGAATAACCAGATACTCTTTCTTGTCTCTTGTTTTTAAGTTCCCTTAAATTATAGGTAAACTTTTCATTCAAATTATTTTAACTAAAAATGAAACAAAACAAAACTCTGGTTACACATCATAGTTGCAAGTATTTGGGTAGAGAAGGAAGGTGAAAAATAATTCCTTGATGTAGTCACGCTTTGTGAGATATGGACCTATTTAGAGCAAGTCTTAATTGTTTTACTTGAGAAAGAACTTTTCAAGTTGGATTCTTGTGTTTTAGAATACTGTGGCATTTTAAAAGTTCTTAGGATTTTGTTAAGATTTGTTTAACACATACATTTGAAGTTTACTTGGTGCCATGGTCTAAAATTCATAGATCTTATGAGAAATACAAAAGTGTTGCTTTTACTGAAATTCAAATCATGGAATGTTTTAAATGAAATGGATCCAGGGTTTGCTGTTGTCAACTTGTTCACTTTTTAGAACATCATAGTGGATCGATGAAGCTGTCAATTTGCACCGAACTCCAGAAGCCCTGATTAAGATAGAAATGTTTCTAGCGACATATACATCCTTAAGCTCTTAACATTTAGTGCATTCCATTTCTTTCTGAAAACAATTATACAGGTTTATTAGAACAAGTGCTTAGCTCAACCTGCTGTGTTTAGTGACTGTCTAATAAATGCTTATTGACTTAAATCCTTCATTGCTAAGATGCTCATGTTCAAGACAGAGTTTTATTTATTGTGTTAAGATACTACATTTTACATGGCCTTTGCCTTTTTACTTATCTAGTCATTTATCTTACAAATGTTTATTGGGTAGCCATTAAAAATTAGGCATTGTGGAATATAGAAGAAACATTTTATTTCTTGTTCTCGGAAACTCGGGGATCCAGATGGGAAGAACTAGGTGAAAGTGTGGTTTATAACAGTGAATTTGCTTACAGTATCCAAGCATATTCAGAGTGAGAGGCTGACTCCCCATCCTTGGGGGGGTTAGGGTGTCACCAACAGATGTCACCTGGAGAGGTTCCAGCTGACTCTGAGGGATGTGCAGGAATTATACTAGGGGTAGGGGGACAGAATTGGTAAAACTCAGTATGAGCATCAAGGTAAGACATTCTTTGGTGTTTGTGGAAAAATTATTGTATTTAAAGGTTAGAATTGGGAGATAGGAGACTAGACAACAGGGTCTGCAGGTTTGTGAACATGTGATTTGATCGCCAGGTAAGAGGGAGCAGCTGAAGTATTTTGAGTGCTCCAGTCATTTGTAATCTGTTCACAACTTGTGTGCCCACTCATAAGCTCCGGGAAGAGTGGTTCACAGATGAAGTGCCTCACAGACATTTAAAGAATTGTTCTGCAGTCTCAGTCCTCCTCCTTTTCCATTTCGGTAAGAGGAAGCAGTGGAATTTCCTGTAGCAGCAAACACGTTAATTCAGTCCTCTTCCTGCTGTGGAGGCATTAGGAACCTTTTCTCATGCGTTCTCTTCCTTCCCTTGAAATACAGTTGGATTTCTTTTTATTCCTTTCTAGGAAGTAGCAGTGTAGTTTTGAGGTATTTTTATTCTTAGAAAAGCAACTTCTTTGTCCCATCTCATCAGAGGTAACTGTACCTCCAGGGGAGCAAGCAGCATGTATTTAATATACATCACTGTCATTCTCTCTCTCCTCTCATGGTTTCTGTCTGCATCATTATGGAGTCCCATCCGTTCTTTGATAGAACAAAGAAGCTGTTAGAAATCTGAAGGATGTCGCTTCGGATTTCTAATAGGAGTTGGATTAAAGTGAAAGTGACCACTGGTGGCCTTTTGTGTCATGCATCTTTTTACTTTGAAACTTAACTGGAGTCTGGGACTAACCTTTTTGCTGAGGGTGCCTTAAGGCACTCAACATCATTTTGCTTTCCCCGCCCCCAGCTGTTACAGTTAATACTTGTGTTTGCTAACTGAAAGCGTGATGGGTAAGTCTATTCAGAAGTGTCTCAGAAGAAAGCCCTGATGACCTATGTCTGAAACAAAACAAAACCACTCATTGAAAATCCTATAGTTTGTCAGTTTTACAATGAGTCAAGTCAGCTTGACAAATGCTGGTTCTACTGGTTTTATTGTTAATTTCATTCTTCTTTCCCCTAACCATTTGGTTAATAATTTATCAAAGCTGCTTTCCACCTTTGATTTAAGGGCTGTTTTTCCTGATTTCTGCTTTTCATGAGAGACAGAGTCTTATTTATGGTTCCTGATTGCTTAAATTAACTTAACAGTCATTAGGAGTGAGATCTTCTAGCCCTTGTTAGGAAGCAATAATATAGAAGAGCACCTGGTTTTAGTAAAAAGTGGTGGGGGTGACTTCAGGATGAAGTTACCACAGGTGACAAACAGGAAGTGAACTTGGTCTAGAATATATCTGTAACAGGTCTTTACTATTGAGCAATCCTTTTTTCTGGTTCCTCTTTGACTCTGTTCCCTTCTTTGCATTCTGATTGTTTCTGCAAGAGGGTTGTGCCCTCCCACTGAGGGCAGAGTCCCTGGGTCTGCTCCCTGTCATGTGGGTCCATGGTAACCATTCCAGGGCTTGTTGGTTGAATGGTGCCAACTTAGTGAGTCCTTTTTTTATCAAGTAGTTATTGTCTTTACTCTTCCAGTCTTGAGTAGAAATCCATAAAGGAGTAAAACAGAATTATTCCCAAGCATGAACAGCAAAAGAGCATCTGCTCTTACAGCCCCAGGATTGTATTTAATACAGCTACACTTCGGGGTATGTGCATTGTTATGATGTGAGTTTTGGTTATAAATGGGTGAGAGACTTGCATTTTATAATATGGCAGGTAGTAGAGGAGGGTTTTGTGATCTGTAAAAAGTGGTTGATGAAATTGCCTGCTAGATGCATCGGGTGGCAAGAAGATGAATTTACCTAACTTAGCATGGATATTTTCTCAGCAGCTCCTTCACTGTTACTCCTTTGTGTTTAAGGTGAGATGAGTGAGAGCCGAGCAAAGAGAATTCGAATAAAAGAGGTTGACGGCTGGACCCTGAGGTTGCTAATTGATTATGTTTACACTGCAGAAATTCAAGTTACAGAAGATAATGTACAGGTAAGAGTAAACAAACACTTCATACCCTTAGATCATTATATAGGCCAGGTGTTTAAATTTAAAAAAGCAAATAAATGTGCCCATACAATATTCATTCTGTACCCAAAGTAATAAGACTTATTTTTAAAACTGTATTTCAAAGGAATGTTTGGGATGATTATGTCTTTTTAGTGTTTCTGATCTCAGTATCTTTTATACTTTTAAAGTTCTAAGATACAAATTGTTTAGTTCCTTGAATGATGCTTGTGCTTCGATGAAAGCACTGTCATATTCATTTATAATTAGACATTGATGCTGCCCACAATTTTTCTTTATTCCTTTGGAGGGTAAGGTCTACAAAGGATGTTTTGACTACTAACAGCCTCTACATCTTTCACTATTTAAAACTTCCCCCACACATGAATTTTGTTAGAATTTAGCATTGCATCTTTTTAATATAAAGAACAAATGTTATATGTAATATAAATATCTAAATCATGTAGCTGTAAAGGGTTGCTATACCTGAGTCAGAATCAAGTTGACAGCAGACAGTAGCATCTGCATATGGAGTAAAAAGTAAAACTCCCTCTTCAAAACTGCTCTTTTCCTACTTCTCCTGCCCATGCACATTGGTCCAATGTCCTCTTCCAGAGGGTGACCTTTGATCTTAGTTTGGTGTGAGTTCTTTCAAGCCGCTTTCTGCACATTTATTCACACACACACACACACACCTTAAATTTGCGCCAACTGTATGCGTGGCTTTGCAGTGAACATGGTATGGTGTCTTAGAGATCTTTAAATGTCAATACTTATGGATCCAGGTCATTCTTTTTGTGTGTGTGGGATGCCATGTAATTCTTCACCTTCACAAAATTGCTGCAATGAATTTTTTTATTTACATTTATCCATTTCTTAGGGTAGATGTCTCAAGATGAAATTGGTAGATCAGTGAGTATATGAACATTTTATTTTTGATAGATATGCCAAATTTCTATTTTAAGTTATTTTTCATATTCTTTCCAACAGTAGTATTGTGCTTTTAGGCAACAGAAAGAACAAGGACTTGTCCAAATAGGAAATTGTGGGTCCAGCCTGGTAATTAGTTGAAATGTTCTATAAAATATTGAATTTGAATACTGAACTTGTACTTTTAATCGGCTAAGGCATGCTGTTAATTTCTCAATTACTTATTAGCAGTTGTAAATCATCTTGGTGATTTTTTTAATAGATGACCTTATTTGACTGTACTTGGAAGTCTTGTGTATGTCCAAAGCATTTGGATAACCCTGGTTAATATTAGAGTTGTGTATGAAAGCAATTAATTAGTTACCAGATATTTTTTAACGTGAAAGAGTATTTAGTGTACCATATATACTTGAGTATAAGCCGAGTATTTCAGCACATTTTAAATGCAGTTTTTGTGGTAAAATTAGGTACCTTGGCTGGTATTTGGGTCTGTTTATACTCTAGTATATATGGTACGTCCTGAGACAGCAGTAGGAGAGCCTGGAGAGCCTTATTTATTCTCTTCTTTTCTGGATGGTGGTTCTTATTAGCTGCTGTTGAGTCACCCTCGATGCATGGTGACTCATTGCATGGGTTGGACTGTGGTGATCCACAGGGTCTTCAATGACTGGTCATCAGAGGTAGATTACCAGGTCTTTCTTCCTAGTCAGTCTTAATCTAGAACAGGGGCTGGAAACTGGGCCTTGCAAGCCATATGCAGCTCTTTTGGTATGTACATGTGGCTCTGAAGTAAAATAGAAAAAATGTAAATGATATTATTCATATAATAGTAATTTCATTTGTTTGTAAACATATGTTTATGACTCTTGAATAATTTTTAAATTGTTGTGAGGGACAAGATTATCTCTTCTGTCTCAAAAAGTGTGCCAATCCCTAGTCTAGAAGATCCGTGGAAACCTGTTCAACATCAAAGCAATATTAAGCGTCCACTAGTAGATGAGTTGTGGCTGTACTTGAGGCCCACTGGCTGGGAATTGAACTTTGCTGTTCTACATGAAATGGGCAAGTTCTATTAAATCATCACTACATACTCTTTCTCTGCACTATTTATTGGATTCTGAGGCATTATTTTCAATAAGAGTTTATCTTGGGTTTTTCTTTGCCCACTTTTTTATCCATTTGCTGCACGGACTTCATTGTGTCTTCTATCTGACCTTCCACAAATGATTTGCTGATGAGTTTCTGTGGGCCATAGCTGGCGTGAAATTGCAAAAGCTTATTTTGGCCAAATACACTACAAATGAGTCAACATTTTTGGCTGTTCAGGACCTCCAGAATGAGGTTTGTCACCAGTCAACATTTCACCTTTTTCAAAACAAGAAAACCACTTGTACCTTGAGTTTTTCCCTTAGTGCTGTCCTTGTAAGCTGTGTTCAAAATCACAAGAGTTTCAGTGGCATTTTTCCTGAGCTGGAAACAAAATTTTACAGTCATACTCTGTAAAACGAGGTTGAAGCCAAACTGCTTTTATAAAAAAAAAATCACTGTGACCAGAGAGAACCTTCCCGGGTGATGCTACTGAGTGCACTAACTCAGAGTAAGTTGCTTGATGCTTGCCTAACAGGAAAAATGCATACTACAATATCTCCTTTCTGCCCAGTGCAATTCCTGGGTTTTCTGGGTTACCCATTGTAGACAAGTAAGGGTTTCATCAGCTTGCTGAAATGCTTCAGTTGGTATTCCATCCAATCCTGGAGCCTTGTTTTTGGCTAATACCCCAGTACACTTTGGACTTCTTTCTTTATTAGCATTGGCTCATGCTCATTTGTTACCTCCTGAAATAGTTTAATGTTGATTACTACAGTGACTATATTCTTTCCATCTTCTTTTATTTTAAAGATAATTATATTGGAGGCTCTTGCAACTCTTATTACAACACTTTTCTAGACAACACTTTCTATTGAGCAGTTGGCATCAACTCCTCTTTCCCCCTACCCCCCACCCCCATGACTCCTTGATAGATTATAAATTTTTATTATTTTCATATCTCATACTGACTGCTGTCTCCCTACCCCCATGGTTTCTGTTGTTGTTTTTTACCCCCTGGAGGGGTGTGTGGTTATGTGTCGATCATAATTATTGGTTCCCCCTACCTCCCCTTATCTACCCCACCCCCGACCCCACCCTTCTGGTATAGCTATTCCCATTCCTGTTTCTGGATTCTATGAGTCGTGAGCTCTTTTGCTTATTTATACCTATGTACATGTCTCGGTCTAGTCCGATGTGAGAAGCAGCACTGGAGTCATGATAGTGGGGGGTGAGGAAGCCTCAAGGAACCAGAAGAATATTGTGTGTTTCATCAGTGCTTTACTATGCCTTGGTTGACTCATCCCTTCCCTATAGACCCCCTCTGTGGGGGGATGTTCCATTGTCCACAGATGGGCTTTGGGTCTCTGCTCCGACCCTCCTCGTTCTCAACGATATGTTTTTTCATGGTTTGTTTGTTTGTTAATGGGTCTTCTGATGCCTGTTACCAGTCCTGATGATACCTCATGATTGAACAATCTGCTTGCTCAGTCCATGTGGACTTATTGTTTCTCTGCTGGATGACCACTTATTTTACTTCAATCCTTTAAGACCCCAGATGCTCACCACATTTGTTTATGCACCCATTTTGTCTTACGCGATTGTACCCAGAGGGTGAGCATCACAGAACAACAGTTTGTTAGACTAGAGCATTCTTATATTGAGGAAGGCTATAAGCAGAGGCTCGAAGTTTGTATACCACCTCAGTGTATTTCCATATAAGTGTATCTACATAGGCCAATACCTCTTATTTTTATGAATTAGTGTATTTACATAAGGACACACCTATGCTTATACCTCTATCCATGACTTTTGCTTCCTAGATCATTCCTCTGGTTCCTTTTACCTTCCTTCTGCCCCATCATCATGCTCACCCTACTTCTGCATCATAGTACTATTTCTCAGCTAGATTGCTGTTGCTCCAACACCCCCAGGATCTCTCTACCCTCCTTGTTGATTTTAATTCCTTAGTTGTTCCCCTTTCTATGGCATTGTTTGTTCAACTCACCCTTCCCCTGCTCGCTTCTCCCCCAAGTCCCTTCCAGGATCGTTGGTCCTGTTGATTTCTCCTCGAGCTTGCTTCCCATGCCTGTCTTATGTATGTAGACAAACCAACAATGGCATAGACCAAACAAAGAAAACAAAAGATTGAAAAAAGAAAAGGGGGAAAAAACCATACATAATTTCAGGTCTGTCCACTGACCTTTATGTCCACTGACTATCTCCCCATTGGTCTTGGGGGAATCTGGGGGCTGCCCCTCCTAGCCTAAAGTATTTTGGGGGGCTTTTTAGGGACTTTGCGGCTTTGCTTTGATCCAGTTGCTGATGTGTTAAGTTCCCTTCTTGACTTGCCCCACTGCGGGGGCGGGGCAGTGGGGGTGGGGAGGTTCAGACCGCACTACCTCCCCGGCTTGTGTCCCTAGTTATTGTCCTCTGCTACGGTATGCTCCAATAAGGGGACAACATATCATGAGCTGTTCTTGGCCCTACAATCCTCTCTGGGACTTAGGAGCTCCATGCAGGGACGTCATCCTCCAGGCCTGGTATGCCAATATGGAGTCTAGACTCCATTTCTTGTTTGCCTTCGTAGTTTGCTTCTGTGTGGACATGATACCAGCCTTTCACCCCAACCTGTAGGTTGAGTGTTGTTCTCGGTTGCACATACTTCTAAGGAGGGGGTCAGTTTGGCTCTGGCTGGGGCCAGCCCTGTAGCCCAATCTTTTCATGCATTCTTCCTTGTGGTTACGTTGCCCTCATGGTTTGGTGCTCTGTGGTAGGGTCTGTGTGCACCTTCCCGATTATGTGGAGTCATAACCAATACTCTCCTCCTAGTATGTTAATGCCTGCTTGCTCCATGCCATCATCTCATCCCCCACCCCTTTTCTCCCTCTCCGTTCCCTTTTCTCCTACTTTGTGTTGCATTAACATGTATCTCTTTGGGTTTGTTCTGACTTTCACCCAACTGCCTG